ACAGTAATTCCATGCCCTTTCCAGGGGGTGCACCACCATCCCAGCACATAGATACCTTTAGCAATCCAGACACTCCTCCAAACCTCATTGTTCTGAGTTGTTGTTGTTGTAGTTGTTGTTGTTGTTCTTGTTTTAATCAAGGCTTCATTATGTAGGCATTATTGATTAAATCCATTGGCCATTGGTGATTAATTTCAATCTCCAGCCCCCTCTCCCTTCTGTGGAGGTTAAGGGTAGGGCTCAAAGTTCTAACCCTCTTATAAGTTGTTTGGTTTTTCTGGTAGCCAATCCCCATCTGGAAGCCGCCTGGGGTCCACACCCCTATGACTCATCTTATTAGCATGAAGTCAGGTATGGTTGAAAGGGGCTTGCTATGACTATCAAAAAACTTTCCTGTTTCTCAGGGAATTACGAGAGTTTTAGGAGCTCTGTGCCAGGAACCTGGGACAAAGACTGAATATATAATTTATTAAATAACCATAGTATTCTCAGCATATGTTAATAGGAAGTATGGCATGTGAAGTTAGTTTACCCCAGTGTTGTTGATGTTAATTCTGAAAACTTGGTTCGTGGTGTCCACTAGATTTCTCCACTATAAAGTTACAGTTTTCCTATTGTAATCAATAAATATCTTATGATGAGATACTTTGATATTGTGTAAATATTCTATTCTTCATGAACCTACATTTACCAGTTTTAGTGTCCCTGATTTTCTAACTCCATCATACCTTCTGTGTTTTTTAGTTGGCATTCTCGTGTGAAGAGGAGTTTACCTTCTTGATTCATTCATTCATTCATTTACTCATTCGTAGCACTGTGGGCTCATGGATTTTTATTTTGTATAATGAGTTATGATCTGTTTTTATCTTTATTTATTCACATTCTCTAATTATATTGAATTGGCCAGGTTCCTGTGTCTTTTTGATATGTCGTTGTCACTCTGGGCTTTCTTGCTTCCTTGTGGGCTGAAAGTTCTAACTGGCTTAACAATATGTTCCATGCTCAATTTATACTTTCTCCCTTTTAGCCCTAGAATCATTCTTTTTCCCAGGAAACTCTGGTTCCTTTCATTAGAGGGAATGGTAACCAAGATAGAAGCTAAGATGTGAGCACTAGATGCATTCATTGCTTCTGGTATGTTTGTTGCTGCCAGTATGTCAGTAGACAGGACTAGGAATAAAATATATAAATACACATTTCTGTATTTTATTTATTTTTATATCTACTTCCTATATTAATAACAGTTTCCTATGTTAATAACAGTGAATTCTTACTGATATCTCCAATTTCAATCTAACACCTCAAGGTGCAATTTGGTTTTATTCCTTCTTTTTCTGTTGGGTTGTTCCTTCTCCAAAAATAAAGACCCAAGCTTCCTTAATCTTTGTGCTTATGTTTAAGCCAAGTTCCGAGCTCTTCACTCCTTTGTGCACATTCTGTTAGCTTTCCCTTCAGGCTGTACAATTCCCATTAACATTTCTTGTAGTACAGACCTGTGGTGACAAATTCAGTTTTAGTTTATCTGAAAATGCCTTTATTTTGCCTGTATTCTTGAAGGATATTTTCACTGGATAGACAGTTCTCACTTAATGGTAGTTTTCTTTCAACATTTTAAAAAGAGTTTTCCTACATTTTTTGGTCTTCCTTTTTCTCAGGAGAAGTCAGCTATCCTTTGTATTTTCACCTTACAGGTTTCTTGCTATGTATCATTTTCATACTATATGGGTAAGGTTAAGGTTTTCACTAACTTTGGGGAAATTTTGGTCTATGTCTTTAAGTATTTTTCCACTCAATTCTCTTTTTTCTCTTTGGCACTCCAATTATATATATGTTAGACCACTTGATGTTGTCCCAGAAAACACCCAAGGCTCTGCTAATTTTTACAAGTGTATTTTTCCCCCTCAGTCTTTCTGATTAAATATTTCCTGTTGCTCTGTCTTCAGGTTCACTGACATTTTCTTCCATTGTTTCTAATGTGCTGTTAAACCATCAATGAACTTTGCATTTTAGACATTGTACTTTTCAGCTCTAGAGTTTCCATTTGGGTTTTTTAAAATAGCTGTTTTGTTTTGTTTTTTACAGTTTCCCATCTATTCATTATTACCACATTTTCCTTTAAGTCCTTAAGTACATTTATAATACTGGGTTTAAAGTCCTTGTCTCTTAATTCCAACATCTGAATCATCTTGGGGTCATTCTCTTTTGACTACTTTTTCTCCTCACTGTGGGTTACAGTTTCCTGTTTTCTTCACATGTTGTGAGTTTTGATTATATGCTGGACATTTTACATGTTTTCTTGCAAGGTATTTGGATCATAATCGTCTTTTTTAAAATGGGGCTGACATTTGTTCTTTCAGGCAGTGCAATTACTTTTTGGCCTGTCAGGCTTGGTGTTATTGTTGGGGTGGATCCATTTTAGTTTGAATTCAGTCTTAGGGAATGCCCTCCAAATCTAGGGAATGTTTCTTACTCCTAAGGATTGGCTTTTCTGTGTCTCAACTGAATGCTTGAGGTGGAATGGCTGAGCTGGAACTCCAGTGTCTCAGAACCTTTCTCTAATTGGTATCACCATTCTGCTTTCAGCCTTCAATACATAATTTTTAGCTGGTTCTCTAAGAGTCTTGCTCTATACATGTCTGAAGCAAATAGTCACTGAGTCTTTTACCACTCCTTTTATCTCTCCCTCTAATCCCCCAACGTAGCTTTCTTGTTAGTTATTTTTCCTTGCAAATATTAGCCACTTTAGAAGCTCCAGATTCCTTTCAATTCCATTTGGAAGCCTTGATACACTTGGGTACTGCCTGCCTTCTTGCCAGCAGGAAAATGGTCCCAGGAAGAAAGCCAGAGTGGTTGTCCTATCTATTTCCCTTTTTCATGGTCGGTGATTTAGTTGTCTTGTATCTTTGGTCTAGTCTTACAGTTTTCAGTAGGAGGGCAAATCTGATACCAATTGCTTTATTTTAGCAAGTGGACTTCCAAGGCTTATGTTTTTGTTTTTGTTTTTGTTTTTGTTTTTGTTTTTTTTTACACTGTCATGTTCTCATAAATAGTGAAAGGAATAATCACAGTAGTAGTACTGCTCCATTTTTTCTTTGGTGTTTCCTGGACCTAAAGGAATTAAAAGTTTTCTATATTGCCTTTGCACTGAGTACATTGTTAGGAAAATTCTTTGAGATGCCAGAATTCACCTAAAGTGAATTTGAAACATACATTACTCCCACTCCTTCAGTGAAATGGAATCCAGGGCTGCTGTTGATTTTAAATTCCCAATATACCCCCAAAGCTGTGAAAGCCCTATTAATTTCAGTTTGTTAAACTCTATTGCTTTGATTAGATAGTTAAGTCCTCTTCTTTATAAATTGGTTTGTAACTTAAATATTCATTAACAAAATAATTTCTGAGGATGCATTTTTATTCATGTTTTGATTATTAGCTTGTAGAATAATCCACTATAAATTAATAGTTGTTTTACTTCTTTAATTCATCAATACCAGTGTCCTATCTGCCTTTTTAGTATGTTAGTTTAGAACAATTTTTAAAAATTTATTCAGCCAACATTTTCGCTGTATTTCAATATAACTTTGAGCATGTTTGCAAGAAAAAAAGCAAAAATGCAGTAATATTTATTAACAATATAAAATATTTATACTGATTTTCTGCCTTTTTATAACTTTGCTTTCGAAATTGTCTTTAATGCCAAGTGTGGCTCTCCTGGGAAGATTGGCCTCATTTCTGACCCCAGTTGACGGAATCTACTGTAATCATTTACTTCATTCACAGCTTTGGCCTTGCGTGACTTTGAACTAATTAAAAAATAAATAAATGACCTTCAAAGATGAGGGTTTTCCAGTGTGGCTATTCCATATTCTCTGAAGGGAATTCCAAAAACAGAGTTTTTAGAGCAGTGTTAACACACTATTATTAGGTCGAGTATGTAAACTTCCCAAGGCTTTTGCTTTGAGGGGAACAACACTCCTTTAAATGTTCATGTTCTGGTATGTTTGTTTCCATTCTAATCTTATTGCATATAGTAGTATCTGTCCATTTCCTCTAGCATGTTTTCCTTCTTACCTACAGTCTTTGTTTTAAACTATAATAAGCTAAAAATGATCACATCTGATGACTATGATATCATTTGTTAATGAATTCCTTCACTTATTTAACAAATGCTTTTGAGTTCTTGTGGTTGTATTGGGAATACGATGAGGGACCAAAAAAAATAAAAAACCCTCCTGGAATTTACAGCCTAATTCTAATCTTCCCAATCTAAAGTTCAAGGGAAAATAGCCTGTATCTTTCTTTCTTCAACCCACATTAGAACCTTTACAACTCTCAGAAGTCCTTTGTGATTATTGGATATGCGTGACGTACTTTGTAAAAGGGAAAAGAAGTACAAAGATTAAGGAGTTGTTTGCAGTCTGATTGAGGCCATGCAGTTTTGTTTTTTTTTTTATGCACATATATACATGAAATTATTTAAAATTCTTACGAACACCTGGGATAGAAGAACGGAATACTGAAGGAAAATATAAGCAACAATTACAAGGGAAGTAAAGTCAGTGTTAGGCAGGTTGTTTTGGAGTGGTAGGTTTTACAGGAAAAATTTCAGAGCAGAGATGCTTTCCTTTGGATGGCACAGAAGAATCAGATAGTGAGATGGGAATAGGCAAATTGTATTATAGTGGTGGAGAGTTGCCACTTTTCCATGAATCTAAGGAATGCCGTCTAAATTGGTTAATATTTTGAATTTCCTTTATTTCTGAACATATTTTGAGTCTGTATTTTTTTGTTTCTCACGAACACTAGCTACTAAAAAACGTAAATTTATCTTTGTCAAAGATGATTTGTTTACATGATATGATGTCTTTCCAATGATAAAATTGTCATTCAGAGCAATAAGGTAAGTCGAAGGTTAGATTTTTCTAATCTTATAAATCGGAAAAATCAAATCAATCTTTGAACAGATCAGTCATTAAATTGAATTTCTTTTTCCTTACTAGGATCCTCGGTTCAATGCAGAAGTTGACCAAATTACAGGCTACAAGACACAGAGTATTCTTTGTATGCCAATTAAGAATCACAGGGAAGAGGTAAGCCAATTTTCCGTTTTATAAAGGTCATTTGGAAACATTCTCTTTTTTAAAAAAAAGTTTTACTTTGCATAGATATGAAATAATACTATAGGGACAAATTAATTACAAAGTGCTTAAATATTCTGCTTTCTTTTTTCTTTTTTTATTATTTAGATAGGGCTGAATCTTGATAGAGACTTTACGTTGACTTAGAAATACATTTCAGACATTTTATTTCCTTACCTCCTCTCCTCCATCACCACCCAGGACCTTATTTTATCCACCCAGGACCTTATTTTATCCTAAGATGTGTAACTGTGGTTGTGGTTGGAATCTATTTCATATTATATTGGAAGTGTCTGAATAATGCTCATTTCATAAATGGTTATTCAATTTTAATGGTTATCAGCTGATATTTGGGGCACTTCAAAATGAGGTTTTGAAAACATGAAAATTGTGGCTAATTCCAAGTAAGTTTCACTGTGAAATTATAACAAGCAAATAAAATGCTTGGGCTTATATTTCACCTAACTAAAAGTCTGGATTCTGTAAGCACTGAATTCCTTCTTTATTAATAGTTACTTAAAAAAAATAGTTAATAAATTATCAATCAAATTATATCTTTCAGTTAAATGCTCTCAACTCTGGCTGCTGGTTACAATCAAATGAGGAACTTCTAAAATATTACCATTTAAATCTGAACCTCTAAGAGCAGGATATAGACATTGATATATTTTTAAAGCTCTCCAAATAATTCTGAAGTGTTGCCAGGTTGCAAAAATCACTACTCTAACTGAAAACAAATAGATTGAAAGCACCCGTACTCGGGATCTCAACCTTGGCTGTTCATTAGAATCACCTGGAAAGTATTTAGAAATTTTAATGCCAGGCTTCATTTTAAATCAGAGTCTCTGGACCTGGGACTCAGGCATCAGTATTTTAAAGCTCCCAGGTGATTATAGCATGCAGCTAGGTTCCAGAACCACAGAACCACTCCTAAAGATACTAGAAGCTCTTTGATGATTCTACTTGACTTATATTCACATTCTGACATCTTTCCTTTCTCTCCTCCATCCAGTCCTTTTCCAAGTCCCATTGATTTTTTTCCCATTGAGAGTTTTTCTCACTTCAGTTCCTTTCCTTTCTTACCTACTGCCATAATTCAGATATTGCAGTAATGCTTGAACTTTAAAAATATTTTCGTAAGAGGCTTCTCTACTTGCAGCCAGTTTCTCTCCAATCCAACCTGCTAGATGTCCTGGGAATTTTCCTAAAACACAGCTTTCTAAACCAGTGCACCTAAGACATTAATGTGCACATGAATCCCATGGGGATTTCTGAATTCCATAGCTGCAGGTGGGACCTGAGATTCTTTTCTAACAAACACTAAGTTGATGCTGACACCCCAAGTCTGCAGATCACAATTTGACTAACAGGATCCTAAACTAGTCACTTCTCAGTCGTCTAAAATAAATTCTCAGTGCCTTGGAGTTGCTACATGGTTTTGTTTTGTTTTTAAGATTTTATTTATTTATTTGACAGAGACACAGCGAGGGAGGGAACACAAGCAGGGGTAGTAGGAGAAGGAGAAGCAGACCCCCTGTGGAGCAGGGAGCCCAATGCAGGGCTTGATCCCAGGACCCTGGGATCATGACCTGCTCCAAAGGCAGATGCTTACCTACTGAGCCACCCAGGCGTGCTGCTACATGGTTTTTTAAGAGGAAAGTTAGAGTCAAAGTCACTAAAAATACCTGTAGTTAAAACATGATTATGAGATTGATTAATTTAATTGGTTCATTAATTAGGTGGGTGAATAATTAAAATAGAAAAGGCCATAAATGGATTAATGATGAGTTTTCCAGATATAACAAATAAAACGTATGTCCCATGCAATATTGGGGGCATAGTTATGCTAAAAATTATTTTTTGCTCCTCTGAAATTAAATTTGACTAGCCTGCCTGTATTTTATCTGAGAGCCCCCAGTATAAACCATAGGCTGTGATTCTATTCACTTGAGAAGACAGCGTTCAGATTCCAGTTAGTTAAGTATATGGTAACATTGTGGCCCACAAAACAGCCTTGTAGCGGCCAAGAGGCCCAGGTTGAATCATGCTCTGATTAAACGTCTCTTTCTAAATAGAAACTGGGGCCCGGGGGAACCCATGAGAATGTGCAACAAAATCACCAGGACGAAGTACGTGGGATTCCCTTCCTGTAAGAGTGACCACAGCACATATGTGTTTGTGTATGACGACCTGAGAGGATGATTTAAATTAAACAAGCAACAGCCCCAACTGTGTTGAAGTATAATTTAACACGAGAAAATTCACCCATTTTAAGTGTACGTGTGATGAGTTCTGACAGACGTGGATGCATCTGTCGTGTAACCACCGCTGTAATCAAGATACAAAACATTTCTGTCGCCTCAGATATTTCTGTGTACCCCTAGCCGTGGCGGTCCTTGCCCTCCCTCAACCCGGACCTCTGACAATCTCTAGTCTGTTTTTGTCTGTTCTTTCTGCCTTTTCTAGAATGTCATGTAAACAGAATCCTGCTGTAGGTAGTCTTGTGTCTGGGTTCTTCCCCTATGTACATTTGTGAGATTCATCCATGTGGTTGCCTGTGTCAGTCCTTTGTTCCTTCTTATTGGCAAGGGATTGATTCTCCGGTGGGAATATACCATTTTGATCATTCATTCGTCAGTTGATAGATACTTGAGTTGCTTCCAGTTTTATGAAACAAGCCACTGTTCTGAAAGAAGCCACTGTCAGAGTTTGCATACAGGTCTTTGTGTGGACATAATGCTTCCATTTCTTTTGGGTAAATAGACAGGAGGTGAATTGCTAGGTCATATAGTTGGTGTTTAATTTTGTAAGAAGCTTCAAAGACTTTCCCAAAGTGGCTGCACCATATGCATTCTTACCAGTAATATATGAGTTTCAGTTGCTTCAAGTCCTTGGCAACATGTGGTGTTACCGGTTTTTCAAACTTTTAGCTGTTTTAGTAGGGATGATTTGAATTTGTTGTTTTGTTTTGTTTTATTTGAGACAGAGAGCATGAGCAGGAGTGAGGGGCAGAGGGATAGGGAAAAGTAGGCTCCCCCACTAAGCAGGGAGCCAGACTCGGGGCTTGATCCAGAACCCTGGGATCCTGACCTGAGGTGAAGGCAAATGCTTAACTGACTGAACCACCCAGGAACTCCTAGGGTGATTCGTATTTGATCACATGAATATATAACCCCACTCTCAGCCAATGGCTGTCAGCTCACTTCTAGATCTGATGACAATGGGTCCAGCTGTAGGCCCCAGATTGTGATTGTCCAGCACTCCCCTAAGATTCCAGCTGGGTTCCTGAGAATCCTTGGGAGGCCTGCCTCCATGTTCCTGCATCCTCCTGCTATCGCCTCTTCACCCTCTAATGACCGGATAGGAAACCAGGGCTCTTCACTGGTCTCCCCACAAATTCACTCACACTGAGCATTTCATGGGACAAAGAAGCCTTCAGTAACTTCACTGGAGACTTAGTCACATCACTGAGGGAGGCCTTGCTGACTCCCCATTTTCAACCTTCTCCCACCTGCTCCCTCCCCTGCCCCCAACATTGGCACCACTCAGTTCATGATTATTTCCTCTGAGTATTTTCTTCAGAGAAAAGGAATGAAGAGAAACAGAAGAATAGACATACTCTGCTGTCGTTAAAAAGAAAAGAAAAGAAAAAAGTTATTTGGCTAACGAAGAACAAAGGCAACTAAGAAGTTGCAATATATGACTTCCAGAATTATTTAAAAATTTATAGCTATGTAGACAAACCCAAGGCAGTGTTTACTTTTGTAAGTATAGAGTACATACAGAAGTACTCTTTTTTTTCTCACAAAACTTTTGAAATTGAAATGAAGAGGCATAAGTAAGGCTTTTTGGGAACAGTTGCTAAGACTGCTTGCTCTGGGCTTGAATCCCATCTTCACCACTTACTTGATAAGTAGCCAGGATGGAATTGGTTAATCCCTTCCATTTTCAAGTTTTCTCATCTGCAAACTGGGTGTTATGAAAGGACCTACCTTGTTGTGAAGGACAGATGCATTCCTGTATGGTAAGGGTTTACCATAGTTCCTGGCATACTAAAAGTGATCAATAAATGTTTTTTTTGTTGTTGTTTTACTTTTTATTTTTTTATTTTTTCAGTGTTCCAAGATTCATTGTTTATGCATCACACCCAGTGCTCCATGTAATACGTGCCATCCTTAATACCCACCACGAGGCTCACCCCCTCCCCTCCAAAACCCTCAGTTTGTTTCTCAAAGTCTACAGTCTCTCATGCTTTTGTCTCCCCCTCCGATTTACCCCAATTCACTTTTTCTTTCCTTCTCCTAATGTCCTCCATGTTATTCCTTATGCTCCACAAATAAGTGAAACCATATGATAATTGACTTTCTCTGCTTGACTTATTTCACTCAGCATAATGTCCTCCAGTTCCGTCCATGTTGATACAAAAGTTGGGTATTTATCCTTTCTGATGGCTGCATAATATTCCATTGTATATATGGACCATAAGTTCTTTATCCATTCATCTGTTGAAGGGCTTGGCTCTTTCTGCAGTTTGGCAATTGTGGACTTTGCTGCTATGAACACTGGGGTACATATGACCCTTCTTTTCACTACACCTGTATCTTTGGGTAAATACCCAGTAGTGCAATTACAGGGTCATAGGGTAGCTCTATTTTTAATTTCTTAAGGAATCTCCACACTGTTTTCCTTTTTTTTTTTTTTTTTTTTTTAATTTTATTTATTTGTCAGAGAGAGAGAGAGAGAGTGCACAAGTAGGCGAAGTGGCAGGGAGAGGCAGAGAGAGAAGCAGGCTCCCCGCTGAGCAAGGAGCCCGACGTGGGACTCGATCCCAGGACACTGGGATCATGACCCGAGCCGAAGGCAGCGGCCCAACCCACTGAGCCACCCAGGCGCCCTCCACACTGTTTTCCAAAGTGGCTGCACCAACTTGCATTCCCACCAACAGTGTAAGA